AACCCCTAAATTTGTATATAGTATTTTTCCGTATAGTCGAGGGGGGGAAGGAAGAAGAAAGTAAAAGAGAACAACAATTGATTCTCGCGGCTGATTATAAAATATTCCTTACCAGTGAATGATCACTGCTTCAATAGGTACGTGAATATCCTCAAAGTACGGAGTGACGTATGCCAAGCGAGCTTCCCGAGGAACCATAGTAGCTTAATTTAACGGCCGCTGACATAATCAAATTTCGAACATCATGCCACCTGTGGACCTCGTTGAGAAATTACTCCCTCAACAAACCAAAACAAAGACATCACAGCTCAGAATGTCCTTTTGGGAGGTTCACAATACCATACAGAATACTGCATGAGTTAACCTACTCGCATATTCACCATTTCGCAATGCCTAACATCAGATACAAAAGACGACAGCTCACAGAGTCAAGACCTCTTGTAGCAGTTGAACGAAATCTTATGGTACACATCCCTTGAACACACATTGCGTCCGATGACCCATCGAAGACGGTTACATTAATTAGACAGAATGCTGATTGATGGCTCTATGGCCTAACAGAGTTGAGCAGAACTCGTGCCTCTCCAGAGGACACCCAATCGGAAAGCCTTGATAAGGAAACCTACGACCTTATTGAGCCCTCGACTTTTTCAATCGGGCCTGGATGCAGATGGCGTTCTGGAATACCTTTGATTCGACGCTTTGGTGGTTTCGGTAGCAACCACCGCCAGAACTACCGGCCGGATAGGCTGACGAGGAGGCAAGAACGGTTACCGATCTACGATGAGGGCGATTAAGCTCTCTTATATACAACTGCTGCTACTGCAAGGGTCACAATCAGCGAGCCTGTCTGATAGTTAGTGAAGCTGACGGCAGGGTGCTGGTACTACGGCATTGACACGGGCAACCCTGACTTGTCATGGGGTTATGCCTAGCCTACAACCCACCCGCCGACAATTCAACTCGCCAAACTTCCATATCAGCCTGATAGATCTCGAGACGTTTCTCTGAAAACTATGAATCGTCAATATTGATCACGAGTAGAAGCCAGGCACCACACTTTGCTGAGCCCTACGATATCACAGCATGCTTCGGAAGGCTCAGCCGGACATTCGATGCTGAGCGGAACGCCAGGTTCGGAGCGTAACAATATATACGCACAGCCTTCAAGTGACGTACTCGAGCTCCTTTGGCAAGAAAATACGAATGTTGTTTTAGCTCGCCGCCGTCTGGCAGCTTAAAAAAGCTCGTTACCAAACCACGACTATGACTCCGTGAGACATCAGCCAATGTTTCAATGACTCGGAACGCCCCTGGAAACGAGACTGGAACGAGACGGAGATACTGCCTTGGTCGATTACTACAACCATCAAATGAACGGTGTAGACCTAGCAAATCAGTATAGAGAGGGCCATGGGGCTCTTAGACTAAGTCATAGGATTGGCTTCCTCTCTTATACTGGTTTATCGATTTTCGATCAACCCCTATCGCATTCGCCGTACTGCTGCAAAGGCGAATAGTGATATACCATCTGTTATCGACCTTCGTTCCTGGGAGTAACTCTACAAGTAAATCTTTCATTTAATAGAAAGATCACATACTGCACTCCCCATCCAACGTTTTAACGAGCCCTTTGTGAATATATAAATTTTCCTTTACATGCCGTGGTTGCCTATATTTCAGTCTAAAAGGCAAGGCTGTTGAGGAATAAAACCGGCTCGGAATAGCCTGCTAGAACACGATATAGCTGCAGTTTGAATAAGCTGGTTTCTTACGGCGACCAGCTAGTTTCTGGCAGGACTGGGATTCAGGCAAGTGTTGGCGCTATGCATTGGGCCTTGCTGTTCCCCAGTTCATAAAATAGGCGTTGGAATTTGTTACACACTTTACCCTATATACTATATTACACTCCTACTTGATACATACGATGATCTTCACCGAGCACTTTCTATATGGCTTGTGCATAGTCTCGTCTTCAATATCGGACTGTGGGCCTGTCAGTTGATTTTACCTCAAGGAATATTCAAACGATTTAAATCTCCCGGCCGCGGGAATTTCCTCCTGATCCTCTAAATGCATACGTAGTAAAAGTTTCCGCTATTAATTATATATCAACAACATTAAGCTTCACTACTTTTATTGCTTCGTTGCGTGTAGTTAAATACCATACGAAGATTCTCTAATGAATCACCACACCATCAGCTCCTGCGTGACAATAACTATGGTGCAACTGAGTGTAGTTATTGAACCAACGAAATAGCCGAGGCATCTCGGCGCAACCAAAAGTCGCTTTACGAGCCCTCGAGCTAACTTCCGGCAGTGTCAAGTTTCTCGTCTCAATTTATTTCTTCTTCATAACGAGCCGAGTTCATATCTAGTTCCCTTTTATGTTCATTAGGCTGTCGTTTTGAAAGGAAGACTCGGCGTCGATTGCTAGACAAAAAATGGCGACAACACAAGCGCAGCCCGCAGCGAGCTTCGCGGAAGCCATCGCGATAACTCCCCTGTCATCCCATACGTACTCTGCGAACCTCCGCACGGAATGGTGCATCGGCACTGGTATGTATCTGTCACTGAGCCCTGGGTTATGCCGCATGGATTACTTTTGTATTAACTAGAACGCAATAGTTCCTCATGGCGGTTATGTGACCTCCATCTTTTACGCCGTGGCCCGCAAGCATATGAAAACCACCCATCCAACATACCACAAAGGCGCACCAGATCCCATAACAGTATACCTTGCCTTTATACGCCGGACAAATATCGGTTCTGCCCTGTTCACCGTCGTCGACACGAAGTTGGGCTCACGTACGTCAACGCTACATATCACACTCAGCCAGCAGGATCCGGACGGGAACCGTCGTGAAGAAGTAGCCGGATACATCACCGTATCACATATAGCTAGTGAAGAAGGGCCGAGCATAGAGAGAGCCTTCGCATTGACTCCTCCTGCGCCCATGGTGGACCTCAAGCAGCTCGCCAGCACCGGCCGGAGCGGTGAATGGAATGGGTTCAAAGTGGCCTTTGGTTCTATGCGGAAGGCCAGTCGACATGTTGAATTTTACGCACCTTCTACGTCTGCCATGGTTTCCCGTGGGTTCGTTGAGCAATGGGCTCGATTTGCGCCTTATGGAAAGGTGGAGAGATGGACAGATGAAACACTAGGGTTTCTAGCCGATATGTTCCCTATGATGCTTGAATCGTTTGATGATAAGCCGTGGGATAAGAGGTCGAAAGAGGAGAAGGAGAAGGAAAAGTATGCTGTTGGTAAAAATGGCAAGCTATCTCCCAAGGGCAAGTTCTGGTACCCGACTATCCTGTTAAATTTGGATGTCAAGAAGAAACTGCCTGCTGAAGGGGCAGAGTGGCTTTATTCACGGGTTCAGACGAAGAAGCTACATAACGGCAGGATGGATTTGGATGTTATTATCATGGACGAGAAAGGTGAGGTTGTTGCTTTGAGCAATCATGTTGCATTGGTTATTGGAGCAGAGAGAAACCTGAGTGCGAGAAAGGGCAGCGGAAAGCCCAACGGTGAGAGCAAGATATGATGATATGACGTTCGTTTTGAATAATTGTAGATATATAGATGTGATTTAGACGCAAAACGACATAGATGTATATACAGCGCTGGCTACGTAGCAGACATACCTTTTCCTACTGTGGATCTAGACACCCGTTACAGCTATATCAAAGCTTCGAGTCCTTCACCAGGATGAAGAACCCCACTGCATCAGCACAGACATACTTCTTCTTTACCCACTCAACCTTCTCGCCATTGGGTTTTATGGGATTTTCTTCCTGTACTAGCTGAGCTCTAACCCACCACTTCCGGCCCTCGTTGCCAATACACCACGTTCGCAGCACAGCATGAGCACCAGTCCTCACCGGTCTCTTAAACCGTACATCCAGTTGCATGGTAAACAGCTGACCGAATTTGCTAGTATCGGCAAAGTCGAAATCGGGTATATGTGCAGCTACACTGATGGCCATCAGTTCGTCGAGTAGTGTAGAAATGATACCGCCATGAACGACCCCCGGGTGGCCGTTAAGGTCCCGTTCGCCAAAATAGAGCAAGTTGACCACATCTGCTGGCTGGTTTGAAGGGATCTTTGGCCATTGGTCTGGTGGGGCAGGGAGCGAGGGAGCGCCGGACGGGACTTTGGCGAGTTGGCCTGGTTTCCGCTGGAGGGTGAGGAGATGCGGAATTGTAGTTGGTGTGTTTATTATGGTTGCAATAAAGGCGTCTTCTCCCGTCTGAGGCTTTGGCTTGCGGCAGTAGGTTTCGATGGGCTGGTAGGCGTTGTTTTTGAGGAGCGTGCTCGTCCAGTTATTGGCTTGGAAGGCTGCCTTTGTGGCGTCTGGCACGGTGTATGGTTTTGGAGCAGTCATGCTGGGCTCTGTCTCCCGAGTCTTTAGTCGACTAACTAGCTTGTTGGGTTGTCTTAGACGGAGCAGCCGTGGTTGGATATGTCGTGGGTGAAGTTGAATGTCGACGTCCGAGCAGCCGGAAGGGCGATGCAGCTAGTTAGAACCGAGGCCAGGGACAGACGTCTTGGCAGTAAACAAATGTTGAAGACTCGCGATGTCTAGCCGGTAGTTACTCTTCTCACCTCGGCTAGCTGGAATATATACACCCAATACTCTGTAAAATTAGCCAGTTCACCAGCGATGCTGTTCCAATGCTCTGTATACGGTGGCCTGTCAATAGTCATGTCCAGACTCCAGGCTACATCCACCCTGGAAGCTCGGTAGTTCGCTCAGTGTCACCACCGGGTGAAAGGAGACAGAACAGCGCACCCCCGTACTCCGTAGTATAGACAGATTAATATCCCATTGTATAGTCCTAGAGGACCACTCGGACACGCCCTCCGCTTTATCGTCGCTTTTCGCTCTCGCTAACCCGCATTCTCCCGCCAGAGGAGGGCCGTCAGCCGCCATGGTTAATTCAAGCTTGATCTTCGGGCAACCGGCCCCATCTTGGCGCACACAGCAGCTCTATGCTTCGTTTCCAGGGCGATAGAGCTCCTCCAGCACTCTTGTCTGTGTGTAGATCTATGAAAAAAAGCAAGCTGGATCAGGTTCTACCCAACAAAACAGCTCTTGTGTCTCGCTCACCGTCAGAAATAGCCGCTGTTCCCGTCTGATCTGGCTCGAGCAAGCAGCCATGAACCAGCCATCGAGCACAGCGACTGGCCATGCCGTGTGCTCCCTGGAACAAATGAGGCACAGAGCCAGTCCGTTGTAAAACCAGACCCCATCCTGTGCACATTTGGTGAACCCCCTTTTGCAGCGCGGGAGGCCACGGCTGTTTCGCAGACACTATTCCCCCCCGCCAGAGCGCTAGCCCTGCTGCTAATTGGAATAAATAGTCCGTGTTTGATGTTGAGTGTATCAGGTTTCGGCGGAGGAGATTACATCTTGGGCGGGCGGCTAGCTAGTCAAGCAGCTAGCTAAGGAAGTAGTATGTAGATAGATAGCGGAGAAGTAGAGACAAGCAGAAGAAGCAAAAGGGACTCGGGTCTCTGTATAAAATTCGCGGGCGACAAAAGTCACGGGCGCTTTTCCTGTTTAGGCAGTCTGCGATCCTCTTCTTGCTTCTTGTTTTTTTCATTTTTTTTCCTTCCTCCCTGCTTGCTTGCTTGTTTATTTTCTTCGTCTTCACCAGCTTCACCTCCATCTTCTCTCCATCAACTCTCCGTCTTCCTCTACGGCTTCGTCTGTTCTTCTCGACCGATCTTCTCTGGTAAGTTGATGGCAAGCAAGTAGACGCGCTGGCTGCTGGCTCGACGCTGACTCTCTCTCTCTCTCTTTCTCTCTCGACAGGAGCCTTCACCACAGCTACGGACAGTTTACAACAGCAGCCACGATGTTGTTCTCTTCTCTCGTCGTCCTCCCCGTTCTCGCGTCCACTGTGACTGCGCTCGGCTCGAACTACACTGTTCCTCCAGACTTCAACGCCGGAGCTATTTCTCCCGAAGAGAAGGGTGCGTTGCTCTGACCACTCGTCCCAGCCGGACTGGCTGCTCAATTGACCTGTATACTGATATTGTCTATAGCCAACTGGTGCGAGGCCGAAGCCAACACCTGTAATGACGTCTGCGGCTCCTACTTGATCAACAGATGCGACCCGGTAAAGCTCTACTCTCTGCTGTTTCTTTATTTCTATTCCAGAGTCGTATGCAAGTTGCTGACGAAACGTACAGAGCACTCTCGAGTTCTCCTGCCAGTGCCAGAACGGCACCGTCCCCCAGATTGACCAGTACAAGAACTCTCTTCCTTGGTTCATCTGCCAGGCCACCTTCAGCCAGTGCATCAAGGCTCACCCCGACGACGCTGATGGCCAGCAGGTCTGCAAGGACAACCAGGAGAAGTGCGGCAAGCTGGACGCTACTCCTCCCGGTGACTCTTCTACTACCTCGGCCAGCAGCGAGCCCACCGCCTCCTCTACCGGCAGTTCTCCATCTGCTACCACCACTGGACCTGCACCCACTCACACCAATGCTGCTGCCATCATGGCTGCTAAGGACTACTCCCTTGGCATCTTCGCTACCGTTGTCTTGGGCGTCTTTGGTATCCTGCTCTAGAGAGCGATGGGTGGTAGATATCCTGAAACCAGATTAATTATTCCCCTCCCCTTTCTTTTTATTATTCCCATGTTTCTTATGTTTACTACACCACCAACGAACCCCCCTGGTCTGAGTAATGGGCTGTTTTGCATGTCGGAGATGAGCAGTTTTGGGCAGCATGCGGTTCTTGCAGGAGCTTTCGGCGATTCGACTGATTATTGGCATGGTTGGCACACCCTTGCTGATCGACAGCTTCATTTCGCGCCGAACCTCCAGGGTCGCTGCTAGTCGGAACTCCTCTTCTCCACTCTGCTTTCTTGCTATTTTCCCTGTCTGTTTTTTTCTTGTTCTCCAGCGTCGAGCAGGCAACTCTGCCACGATGATGTACCTACGTGTGAATGCGAATGATACCGATGTCTATCCCAGTTATTATATTCCACCGTTAGAGCCAAACTGCAAAGCCTAAAAGGGGGTGCAAAAAACAAATATCAAAAGTAAAGCCAAAAAAAAAAAAGGGAAAAGAAAAAAGAAAAGTGCATCGACCGGGAATCGAACCCGGGGCCCGTCGATGGCAACGACGGATTTTACCACTAAACCATCAATGCGATTTTGTTGGAAGAGAGCTTAGCTAAGGCAGCACAAGTAGGGATTCTTAGTCATCATCCTAGTTACATGAAAGCCTGCCAAGACTTCCACACAAGAAAAAAAGTGCGTAGAAAGTTTATCGAACATCGAAAGTCGTTAAAAAAAACATCCCACCAGCCGGACCAGCAGGACAAAACACCCTCGCGCTCGACGTTGACACCGGCGAAGGACACTGAGACTGCGCATATCTGGATAGTCGAGGGAACGGACAAGACGGAACGTGAACGGAGAAGGGAAATTTCGAAAGGGAAAAAGAGCACGAAAGATACCAAGGATGGCGACCAATACCCTCCTGATCGAGGGTTCGTTCGATGAACTCGCTGACGAACTCGCCCGCTACATTGATACGATTCGCAAGAATGTCTCCGCTGCTTCGGCGACCCCAAGTGCTGAGGTGACGTCTGTGCATGCTGAGATTGCGCAGCTGCTCGAAAAACTGAGGGAAAAGGAGCAGAGTGAGGAGGAGTTGACAGAGGAACAGACAAAAGAGATTCAGAATGAGAGGACCGAAGTGCTGAAGAAATTGGTGCTTGCCGCTCCGGTGCTAAATGGTGCTCCTGAGAAAGGTATGATGGGTTAACTTCTTTTCAATGTTTCCTTTCCTGCTTGAAAGGAGGACATTCAAGAATGCTGACTGGGGGTAGAAATCACCGCTGCATACAACCTGCTGGTCTACCTGGTCCGTCAATCAAGCTCGGTAGACATGTTCTTGCCCAAGATCTGCGCATTCCTGGCCAAACCAATGCCATCTTCACCGCTGCATGGACCTTCCATCGCCTTGTCCATCCTGGCAACCATTTTCAATACCCTGGACGCAGATGACTCCAGCAGATACCATGTATTCCTTGCCATCATGGCCGTTATCCGCAGCACCTCTTCCGCACTCGCCTTTGAGGCCCTAAAGACTCAGCTTTCTAACCAATTGCCCGGCTGGATCGAGTCCTGGGACCTTGACGAAGAAGAGACCCAGAAGCTGCACATGTCCATCTCAGATGCCGCCAGGGCTGCCGGTGAT